TGTAACATTTGACTATTCTAATGTTGTTTCATCGGTTTTTATACAGACGCAATGCTCTTTTCGATGTGCACTCTCTTGAGACTGGTTAGCCATTATGGTGGTTATCAGTGACTATGATCCCGTGGGTCCCAATACATTTCTTGAGTTGTGGTTATATGTACAATATTTTCTACCTCGACATTTCTCACTCACATAGTCTAGTATTCTGCGTTTCTTGTGAATTAACTGTGATAAGCTATGGCAGGTAATCAGTGCGAGCGGAAGCAGCACATTTGTAAGAAGCTGCAGACTCATTGGAAGACTTTCAAAAAGTGAGGACCTTATAAATTGCTAATAGTGACGACCCATTTCACATACCAGTATGTGGCTAGGTTCGCACGCAGAGGAAAAATCAGCGAATGAGACATTGAATAGTAGTGGGACAACTTTGTGCAACTTTCATCTAGTGTGTATGTTTCGCTCTGATATCTTGTCCCTCAGAGCACTAACAAAGTATTGTTAAATGTATTTTTGCATTATGATTCGATGGTACAATTGCTGGTAGTTAATAATATTATGTATGCGTAATACTGATGATATTTTCTGCACCATTAACGTGTTTCACATTTCAAAAGAAGTGTGAACTAGGATGCCTGAATTTATTGAATACTTAAGTCATATATGGTCATGCATGTTGAGTATGTAAGTGCTTAATTTATGTAAGTGAATTTAATCTGTTTCACTTGTAGGAATGTAGAATCGTAATAAGGTCTCCCAGTTAGTTAAGTTCAGTGGGAGCAGATGTAGTCGCATTCGGACAAAGATATACAAAAAACACTGACGAGTGTTTGATTTGATTTTGCTAACAACACACATCTTTCAAGTTTTCACTTGTTTTTCGATGCAACGTTGTTTGATATTTGGTCACTTACAGCGTTAGCACACCCTAGAATGTGAAAACATGGATGCACTAAGCTCTATCTAAGCTCCAATTCACTACGTTTGTCAGACGCGTAGATCACTGAAGGTAAGATTATAGGTGAGTACATTTTAATGAAAGTTCAACCCCCTACAAAAGAAATGTTCAATAATTTAGGAAAAATTTCATCTTTGTCTGAAGATGTATGCGATAAGAAACAAAGCATTGGTTGGTACAACGTTTGTAATTTAAAATTCTGCATGATCTAACTGTAAGTAAAACTGCTAACGAAATCTATATTCACGAATATCACCCCGAACACCAACAACAGAAGTATTTCAGAACACCTGTTGGCAATGTGGAATATAATTGTGGATACAGAACAGTGAGTAAACACAAAACAGATGGGCTAGATACATGATTACAGATCATAATGTGCGAATTAAATACAAACCTGACAGTTTCTGTTATCTCGTTCAGTATTTCGCTCGAATTATTTCCAGAACTTACTTATCACCATTTTGAAGTAACCGCTGTTACATAATTATGATGAGTTCCAAATTTGAAGCCTATTGCAAGCTTGGAGTGCAGGTCTGCGAGAAACTATTCTCACGTCATGATGCCAATTATAGGTATAAGCCTACTCAAACCACATTGGAAACGTGAAAGATGACACCAGTGAGCATTCAGTAGCAAAACACGTTCAAACCAGGACTATTAAGTGTAGGGACAACCATATGGTTATTTTGTTCGATACGGTTCTTAACTAGCATTCTGAGTTGGACACTGCGCGATCTTGTTTGTGTTATGTCAGAGCTGACTACGCCAAAATAGCAGATATTTGACTGATGCAGCATTACACACAGATTGAGATAAAATATCGGTTGTTGGGCACTATGATATTGTAAAGAGTTCCTCTAGTCGCATAAGACCCAGGGATGGTTAACAAGAGGTATTTGCCCTAGGAGGTCTAAATAGTTAGTATCTCACTGGTGAGGAAACGGCTGTAACATTCAGTTTGGTGAATTCCACCATTATTAGTCAGATGGGCAGCTTTGTTGAATCACCGGGCTACAATTAGAAATCAAACCTATAATGGTTCTAGTGAGACTACTGAAATTCGTCCTGGGAAAGCCCCCTGAAATGGTGCTCAGAAGATCTCTGTTGGCCTTTATGCGACCTGTTCTAACACTTTCAGGACCCAAAGAATCTGTCAGAAGACTGTATGTGAGTTAAACTTTCTCCTATCTTAAAGAGTGGACATCAGCGGAGCATCATGAACTGTAGATCAGTATCACTACTTTCGTTTGTGTCGAAGATATTGGAAAGGCTTATTGCCGATTATGTCATGCTACACCTTAAGAGGAACAATGCATTTCGTGAAGTACAACGCCTTGAAACATATCTTATACAGGCATGGTGTGATCACACTATGCTGGGTGTGAATGTTACCGTCCATATTATCTCTTTTGATTGTGCGAGGGCAATTGATGCATTTTAGTGTGATTTCCCCCATACAGAATGTGATGGGTGATTATTGATGTCCAGCCTTTCATATGGTTAGAGGATTACCGAGAGGGGAGGGAATTCTGTGTTCAACCGTGTTCAGTCATCGCACAGCTCGGTCACGGGGTCTCACAGGATTCCATTCTATAACCCTCGATGGTTTTTTAGTTTTCATCAGTAATCTATTATTACCTCTGAACTGTGTGAGTCTCGTCTATAGTAATGATGTAGAGACCTGGCTAGCGATACAATGTTTAGACTAAGTTACAGACAGACCTACAAAATCTGAAAGACTGAGCGTGGCCGAACAGAATCCCTTTAAAAATTCTAGTCGCTTCCACTAAATACGCAAACGAGTTCCTTCTTGTGTCTTAGCAGCTTGTTTTACACAGTCAGAGCGTGATTTAAGTATCACTCTAACGGACAAAGAAGAAACAAGTGTGGATCACCTGGGTGATGTGGATAGGGTATTCTCAGTTTTGCGTTTCATTCGTAGAAAGTTAGTTGCACTCACTTCTGAAAATTTTCCTTAAATAGTACAAAATATGTGTTTGATCACACCTTGAGGATGCTTATTGTCATTGCCCCGCAACTACTGAGTCACTCCAGTCTTTTGGAAAGGACTCCAGGAAGGGTGATAGAAGGGATTATGGGCTTCGGGAATAAACCACATAATGAAGAGTTGCGGAAATCATTTAGACTGCCCCGAGCAGCTGGCATGTGAAACGACCTACTCCGGACATAGCAGTACTACAATCTCAATACATCGCATGATGCACATTTTATATAATTAGCCTCACATCTCTCAATGGGAACTAGCAAAGTGGCGGCTGGCGAACGGTGGGAAAAGCTGAATAGAACGTGACCGGAGATTAGTATCTATTACCGCACAACCAAGAAGCATGAGGAAATCAGTTTGGTTTTAAAATGGTTCGTAAGAAGAAATTTGGATACATCCTGTGCAGCGGAAGCTTGTCTTGCACAACGTCGAAGCCTGACTTAGGTCTAGTCCTGACAGAAAAAATGGACACAGGCGTGAATTACACAGGTGACGTAGTGAGGGCATATTCGGTCATACACTTTACACAGAGACGGTTAGGTACACTCACTCCTGAACTCTTTCTAAGGTTTTACAGAACATACGTCAGACCACATCTCGAAGTGCACAATATCACTGTACCCCTACTACTTAGAAGAGAGGCGAACCTTTTGATAAGAGTTTAAAGATGGAATAGTGGTTCTCTGAAATAAACCGTATGATGAAGAAATTAGGTCTCTTCGCACCTAGCTACCGTCGGTTTAGGGGTACTTGATTACTGCCTATAAGATAACAAATGACCATAATCACCCAAACAAATGTGTTCTGCCATTAAGTGCTAATGGACTTCCTCGTGGAAATCCCAGAACGATAGCCTAATAGAATGCAAAGACTCGAATGCACTCCCATTTCTTTTCACTGCCAGTTTGTCGTCCCTGGAACTCCCTACCGGCGTAACGACAGAAGACAAGGGTCAGGCAACAGATCGTTCATCGAGAAAACCAAGAGATATTTATGGATTTTTTTGTTAGCAGAGAAGCAACTTTTTCTGATTGGTTTTTCTTGCTAAAGGTTGTTCTGTACTGCTTGTGACTGTTGCTGATATAGTTATTCATATATCTGCGAATGGTATTTACAAACGCTAAGTTCGCTGTGACTGGTTTTTGAGTTCCTCAATGTTAAGCTTTTTTAATGTTTTTTTTTCTCATGCCCCGATTCGGGATGTAAACACTGAAGTAAATTGTCGTCTACCAATTTTGGCTTGCAGGCAGCTCCCATCACACCGGCAGATGTAGCTATAGCACTGTCCGTGGACAGCTTTAAACGAAGGCTGGACACTCAAGCAGCGACACAAGGACTGCGTCCAAACGTCCTATCTCCTTTAAATCCTTTACACCATTAATGGGTAGACATCTAAACTCATCGTTTTACTTCTTCGTATTCTCTCTTGTCTTACTCTTCTGAATACTCCAACTATTATATACCCCAACACAATTATTACCATTGAAATTTATATACATGGATGTATAAATATGTATATATCAACTCCAAATTTCATCAGCTGTCTGTTTTTACGCTTCACTTCTTTTCTTTCATTTAGTCTACATAAACTACACTTACTGTATCTGTTATTGTTCTCTTTTCTTCTATCGAAGACACCAGATCACTTGCTGGTGAAAGGATCAACTCCATTCACAGTAGTAACACAGTCTCAACACACCACATACTAAAAACAACATACTTATTTCGAGCATCACTCATTTCGGAGTCAACCAAAGCTACGACGGTTGAGTTATGGGATGAACTACTCAGAAGTTTACCGAAGAACAGGCATTTTTACCTCAAAATCAAGAGGCGAGCACAAAGAAGTCAAATTGGTTTACACCAGCTCGTAAATATGATATTGGATATCGAGCTAATGACCTTGGCGGGATTTTGTTTCTTGTTAGTGCTTTAGTGTAATGATATAAAAACTTGTATGAGATCACTAAACGAGTTTCCTATTTTTCAGGAAGGAACGCAGACGTGGCACTGCTGGAGGAAGAAGAAGACCGATTGTCGAGACTTGTTATAAATGATAATAAATAACTTTGTACCCGGTCAGTTTAAATCTTGCGTGGTGTTAATAAAGACCTTTTCTCCCGCATCTTCGTGTTCTTCCTTCATTGGCTGTGTCTGTTGTCCGTGAGTGTTACATTTGGATCCCACCTCCGACACCAAATGTAACACTCACGGACAACAGACACAGCCAATGAAGGAAGAACACGAAGATGCGGGAGAAAAGGTCTTTATTAACACCACGCAAGATTTAAACTGACCGGGTACAAAGTTATTTATTATCATTTATAACAAGTCTCGACAATCGGTCTTCTTCTTCCTCCAGCAGTGCCACGTCTGCGTTCCTTCCTGAAAAATAGGAAACTCTTTTAGTGATCTCATACAAGTTTTTATATCATTACATTAGAAAATAACAAGTTCACTATATAGTGGTCGAGTTTACTGTCTCTTTTCCTCTGTGTCGTAGGCAGTAAACCTATGTAATAATTTTTGAAGCAGACACTGTAAGTTTAACTTACAAGTGTAGCTGGAATGAAGCACTTTTGAAAACCCATGAGTTTGCTGATAAATCGTAAATTTCACTGCTTAGATAGTTATATGAGACAATTTCCAGTCATGGAATGACCTTGGATGAAAGATAATGTGCAATCACTGCCATGTCAGTGTCTATACAAACGTCGGGAGTTAGTGTTAAAGGTTAGGATTTAGGGTTAGGTTACAAGTATAATTTGGGTGTGGGATCAAACTAAGACTAATTTAATGGCTACTATTGTTTATCTTTATCACATTTGCCTCACAGATTAGCAGCCACTTAATTGCGTTTATTAAATTATCTGGAATAAGTGAATTTAAAACCTCAAATTTGTTAATTTATTGTGATTGTGAATGTTATGGACGTGATGTAATGTATTTAATGGATCAGTTGTCTGACTTGTTGAATAAATCTGACATGAGATGACAATTCAGAAGCCGAAATCCTAACTCTTTCTTAATACTAGCACTTGCGCGTTGATATAGTACAATTCTTAACTTTTGAGTTTTTTTAAAATTCCTACTTGTGTCCTAAAATTTACAAGTATCGGTTGTTTACTCATTGTATGTTCTGTCTTCTTTTGAAGGTGAAGGTGTTTCTAGAATTATCAATAACATAACATTAACTGATGTTGAAATGTCTAGATCAACACTACCAGTTGATGTATTCTTTAAAAACTTTCGATTTCTGAAGAAGACTGTTGTTGTGAAAAATGATGACTATAATGCTGCATATAAAGCTCTATCCAAGTAAGTTTATATTCGATTCACATATGTCCCAATAAAAGTAAAGAGTTATTAAGTTTACAGCCAGTATATATCGTTTCCAAATTTTCCTCCATATTTCTACCAATAAACCCTCTAGAATAACCCTTATTTGAGATAGTTGTACGAAGGTTTTCAATTTCTTTGTCAACCGTGTCTTAATAGCAGATTTTCAGGACTCCGAAACATGGAAAATGGACAGGGTTTTGCCCTATACCTTGAGGTGTCACTGTTGAGGCTAGTATATTGCCCTGCAGTAGTTGGCTTTCGGTTGACCGACCTTTTAAAATGTAGCGATTCTTCCAATTAATCTCTATCTCTTAAAAGTGATTAGCTATATTCTTATCCTATGTGTATCTTGACTGAGTAATTTTTGGCACCACTTAGTGGCATTCGTCATTTTATTATTATGATAATTCACATGGGTTCTGAGTAAAACATAGGGCTTCAACAACACATCTCCACTTTGTCTTATTCTCCCCAATCTTCTTTAGCCGGTCCCACGATTCCCCAAAGTCTCTATTCTCCTCTTCGCATGACCTCCATATCATCTACGGACCGACGCCCCACTCATCGTCTCCCACTCGAGTTCCACTCGACCGGTGGCCTAGCACACGATGCTATTCGACGGTCTTCTCAGAGCATGTCCAGTCCATCTCCAATTCTTGCTGCATACTTGTTGAACAGCAGCTTCTTGTCTCTAATTCTTGCTGGCCATTTCGTAAAAGTCCACAGCAGCTTGTTGGAAATACTTTCCGTGACGCGCCGGCCAAGTTTCAGACCCATAGAGAATAACCGACTGACTTAACTTTGGTGTTGAAAATCAGAATTTACTTCTTCAGAAGATTCCCAAGCTGGTTTCAGAGTAATGAAGGTGTTTCTTGCCTTACCGATTCTGATCTTCACATCCTCATCTGTGGTGTCGCCTGTAGTTGGAACGATGCGTCGTAGATAGGTGAAGGAAGTAACCTCTTTCAGATATATTCTGTTAGTAGTGATTAGTACTTGTTGTTGTTGTTGGTTGGTCATCTTCATCACCTCCGTCTTCTCTATGTTCATTTGAATTCCTGTCTTCGCTGCCTGCTTCTTCAACCAGTTTGTTGGTTTTCGCTTGTAAATCTTCGAGTTTGTATGACATTCAACACAATTCATCCACATGCAAAATCTTGTACAGTCTATTTATCGGTCCAGCGTATTCCTGCCTTCTCGCTCCCATGCACAGTATTCCTTATAATCCAGTTCACTACAATTAAGAATATCATCGGTGATAATAGTCAGGCAGCCTTGTCTTACTCCTGTTTTCATTTCGAATGCTTCACTGACTTTTCTTTTGTGGATCACTTGACCCATGGCATTGTCACATAGCGTGGTGGTCGAACCAAAACATGGCTTCATCAGTTAATAAAATCCACAACAGTTAGTTTCAGCCACGTAGGAAGGTGTAGACTTCGTGACTGACTGGTTGGGGTCCTTGGGACGGTAAAATCCAATGAAAGCTGGAGACAATTGGTGATATGGCTGAAAATCGTTCTGAGTGATGACTCAGATGCATCCACTCCTTGTGACATGTTGACCGCTTCACCTATTTGGGAAGTTGTATCAGCACCAACGGACTGATTGACCACGAAATCTCAGCACGGACCCAAAATGCTCGAGCTGCTTTCGCTAACTTACACCATCTCTGGCGTAGGCGTGAAATCCGGCTATCAACCAAGGGACGTGTGTACTGCTCAGCAGTTCGCTCCGTCCTTCTCTATGGCTCTGAAACATGGCCAATACGAGTTGAAGACATGGAAAGGTTGACTGTTTTTGATCATAGATGTCTACGATCTCTTTCTCACGTTAGGTGGTATAATAAGGTAAGTAATGTTGACGTTAGGCGTAGTGTTGGGCAAAGAGGGAAAATCAATCGAAGAGGCTATAAAGTTACGTAGATTGAGATGGCTAGGTTACGTGCTGCACATGCCTAACCATCGCCTCCCCCGACGGGCATTACTAGCTGATATAGGTGCAGGTTGGGAAAGAGTAAGTGGTGGCCAAACAAAAACACGGCCTCATCAATCCATGAAATCCTTGACAGTTAAACTGAGTTAGGTAGGGAGGGAGATGCAGACTTCCGGGTTGGGGCCCGCCCTCAGGACTCTAAGAATCAATGGCTGGAGACAATAGGTGACATGGCTCGAAATCGTTGCCAATGGCTTACGCAGATGTATTCAGTCTCTTTAACCTTTCATATTCCTTTCTACCATTACTCATTCTGTTTCACTCTCATACTTGTCAAAACTCTATTGATTCTCTTCACTCATTTTCTTGTCTACCTTTGTGTACTCTTTGAAGCGTGGCAACTCGAACTGCTGCACTCCTTGTGACTTATAATTTCCAATAAAAGTATATTGTCCTTCGATATTACTATTCAGTTTGCCTCACATCTCTGTTTACTGTCTCTATTTTGCATTTGGTTTTACTTTCTCTTGCTGTGTGTGCTACATGCAATGTGGCGACTCGAACTGCTTCACATTGGTGCAGTTTTACGTTGAAACCAGTCAGTCAGTCAGTCATTGTCATATAGCTGTTGAATAAGGTTGCGTAGTATAAATGTGACTGTACAATTGCTTGAAAATCAAGTTATCGGAAAGGAATATTTCTTCATTGTACAAAACTGTGTGTTTTTCGTTCCTTGTTGTTACATGTACTCAACTCATCAATTAGATTCTTATTTGTCATCCACGGTTGTTTTTTTCTTTCTTTCTTTCAGAATACTGACTTTGGATAAAGTTAAGAATACAATCAGAGCTCAAGAATATTATGAAAGACCTACAGTATGGAGACGAAGAATAATGTATGAACGTTGTAAACGTATATATGATTCTGAAATGGCTAGAAAAATTTCACTTGTTGTACGTACAAATAGAATAGATCCATGGCCACGTTAAGAGACCTATATAAGAAAAAAAAACATTGTATTAAACCATTTTCATTTATGTACAGATGTACAATAGTTAGTTATGTAATATGAATCAGTGATATTTGTACGTATATATTGTAATTTTTCCTGCGTTCACATATTTTTGTGCGTTAGATGTTGAAATGATTTTGTGATTTATAGTATGACTACCATTAGCTCTTTTCCAACCTGATCTAATAATGCGTAGACTAAGTAGTGCTCGGAAAGCACAAACACTAGAGAAATAGGCATTCTTTAGACCACGTGGAGGGTGTATTGATCATATTTTCATCCTTCGACAGATTCTGGAACATAGGCATACTTACCGGCGGCGTCCAACAATCGTCATATTTCTTGACTTAAAGGCGGCATTCGATTCTGTCGATTGAGAGGTATAGTGGCGGTGTTTGGCTGTGTAGGGAATGCCGAGAAAATACATCGCACTGATAAAGGCAGTTTATTCAAATTCATGCAGTCAGGTAAGAGCTTATGGTGAGTTATCAACTCAAGTGGTGACAACTAGTGGTTTCTATCAGCGATGTCCGCTGTCCCCATTTCTATTTAATTTTATCATAGATGTACTAATGGACTTCACCGACTCAGGGTTTGATTTTTTACCATCAGCGAATAATCTCGTTGACCTAGATTATGCAGATGATATAGTCCTTCTACGTGGTGAAGACGCTGACAAAGTGCAGAGTCTTCTGAACACCTTGAGCTGCAATTTGCGAATGTTTGGCATACGATTCTCTCCTGCTGTCAAATGTAAGATGATGCTGCAGGACTGGACTACATTGGCTCATAGCTTAGAAATAGGGAGTGAAGTGATAGAGTGTGCTGACCGCTTCATTTATTTGGGAAGTTGCATCAGCCAACGCCAACGGGTTGATCGCTGACGAAATCTCAGCACGGATAGAGAGGGTTAGTTTCGCATATGCTAGTTGACGCCATCTCTGGCATAGACCTGATATCCCCCTAGCTGTCGAACAAAGGGCATGTGCACTACTCAACAGTCCGCTCCGTCCTCCTTTATGGCTGTGAGTGAGACATGGCAGCCATTAAAAGTGGAAGACATGAAAAGCCTGGCTAGCTGTCTTTGATCATAAGTGTCTGCGTTCTATCTCCCGTGTGTGTTATGTGGTATAATAGGGTAAGTAATATTGAGGTTAGGCATCGATCGAGCGATAGGTAGGTAGGGAAAATCAATCGACGAGGTTGTGAAGTTACTTCGATTGAGATTGTTAGGACATGTGTTACGTATGCGTAGCCGTTGCCTTCCTTGACAACAGGCAATATTAGCTAACATAGTATCATGTTGGGAAAAGAGCCAGTGGTGGTTGAACCAAAACATGGCATCAATCAGTAAAATCCATAACAGTTAGTTTAAGCCACGTAGGAAGGTGTAGACTTCCTGGTTGGGATCATCGGGACAGAAAAAACTAATGAAGGCTGGAGAGAATAGGTGATATGCCTCAAAATCTTTCTCAATAGCTAGTGCAGATGCATCCACTCCTTGTGACTTATAGTACCCATTAAAACTATGTGGTTCCTGGGTATTGCTATTCTTTTTGCCTCATATCTCTGTTTACTGTCTCTATTTTGCGTTTATTTTTACTTCTTTTTTTGCTTTGTGTGCTACATGGAGGCAGTGTAGCGACTCGAAATGCTGCACATCTGTGAAAAGTTCTATGTTGAAATCACTCAATCAGTTAACCTGATCCTATGTCAGTTGTCATTGACCATCGAGAAAGGTGATAGATGACTAAGCATGCATAACACATGTCCTAGCCATCTCAATCGATGTAGCTTCACAACCGAGCTGCAATCTAAGAATGTTTGGCATGCGATTCGCCCGTGTAAAATGTAAGATGATGCTGCAGGATTGGACTTCACCGACCCCTAGATTAGAAATAGGAAGTGAAGTGGTAGAGCACGTTGACCGCTTCACTTACTTGGGAAGTACCATCAGCCCCAAAGGGTTGATCTCCGACGAAATCTCAGCACGAATACAGAGGGCTAGGTTCGCATATACCAGTTTACGCCGTCTCTGGCGTAGACGTGATATCCCACTAACGACCAAAGGGTGTGTGTACTGCTCAACAGTCCGCTCCGTGCTCCTTTATGGCTGTGAGCAAGACCTGGCCATTGAGGGTGGAAGACATGAAAAGATTAGCTGTCTTCGATCATAGGTGTCTGCGTTCCATCTCCCGCGTGAAGTGGTATAATAAGGTGAGCAATATTGAGGTTAGGCATCGGTCGAGTGCTTGGTAAGGAGGAGAGATCAATCGACAATGCTGTGAAATTACAGTGACTGAGATGGTTGGGACATGTGTTACGTATGCCTAGCCTAGCCATCGCCTTCATCGACAACAGGCAATGTTAGCTGATATAGGGCCAGGCTGGAAAAGAGCTAGCGGCGGTCAAACCAAAACATGGCACCAGTCAATGAAATCCACAACAGTTAGTCTAAGTCACGTAGGGAGATGTAGACTTCCTGGTTGGGGTCCTCGAGACGGTAAAAACCAATGGTTGGAAACAATTGGTGACATGGCTCAAAATCGCTCTCAGTGGCGCAGATGCATCCACTCCTTGTGACTTATGATTTCCAATGAAACTGTTTTGTTCTTCGTTATTACTACTCCTTTGTCTCACACCTCTGTTTACTGTCTATATTATGCATTTCTTCTACTTTCTTCTCTTCCTTTGTGTGCTACATGGAGTGTGGCGACTTGAACTGCCGCACATCAGTGCGAAGTTCTATGTCGAAAACAGACAGACAGACAGCTTCACAACCTCATCTATTGATTTCCCTTCCTTACCTCTACCACTGTATGCATTACTTCATCATGGCTAACGCTACTATACCATTTAACACTGGTGAATACAAAACGTACATTCTGATTAATCAGCAAGTTAGTGTTGAATGGTAAGATGAGATAGCGTTGTTAGGCATGAATTATAAGCACTTAAAGTTGTTAAGTTACTTTAGGAAATCCTAATTTCTTATAAATATTGCAAGTGTTTATTATTTCGTCAGTTTTTCCGGGAAAAAAGTTTTAATTGTTGGGAATTTAATATAAAAGAGGAAATGTATGCCATTGATTGGCCAATAGTCTATAACCAAAGTCATTTATTCTGTTCTTAGTATTAATATTGACTGAATTCTATGCCAATCAGGTTTGCAATGTGGGTAGGTCACTAAGCTAGGCGGTTCACGATTGAAGTTCATTTAAGTTTAATTTGATGTTAGCTGATTGGAAGTAGTCATCAAGAAGCTCCCTACGGGCGTTTCGTACGTACTTACCAGTACTCATCAATAGTTCATACTGTCCTCCTTAATGACTATGAGTTATGACCATTGAAAGTGTAAGACATGAAACGGCTAACTGTCGTTGGTCATAGATGTTTGCGTTCTGTCTTGAGTGCTAGGTAGCATAACAAGGTGAGTAATATTGGGGTTAGGCGTCGGCCGAGTGTTAGGTAAAGAGGGGAAATCAGTTGACGAGGTTGTGAGGTTACATAGATTGAAATGGTTAGGACATTTGTTACGCATACATGTCTAGCCATCTCCTTCCTCGACGAGCAATATTAGCTGTTATACGATCATGTTGGAGAAGAGCCAGTGGTGGTTAAACCAAAACATGGCTTCATCAGTCAATGAAATCCATAAAAGTTAGTGTAGGTCAGCCACGTGGGGAGATGTAGACTGCCTGCCTGCTTGGGGTCCTCGGCATTGTAAGAACTAATGACTGGAGACAATTTAGGATATGGCTCAAGATCGTTCTCAGTGACGGTGTAGATGCATTCACTCTTTGTGATTTACAATATCCAATAAAGCTCTATTGTTCTTCCATTATACTATTCTTTTTTCCTCACTCACACTTCTGTTTATTACCTCTCTCTTGAATCTCTCTTTCCCCGCTTCTCTTGGATTGTGTGGTACATGAAGGGAAAGTGACAGCTGGAGCTGCTGCTCATCGGTGCATATATGTATGTTGAAACTAGTCAACTGTACTAGAACTGTTAGCTTAGAGCTGCTTGTTTTGATGAAGGCTAGCAGTAGAATCTCGAATGTGCGTTTTGTCACATTTAGGACTCGTCGGCTTGATGTGCCTTCCACCCCCTCCGCCCCCCGTGAATGATAGTTTACCTAAGCTTGAAATGTTAAAGCGTTACCCACCCCTAGACCCCTGGCCTATTGATAAGTTTAGTATGAAGCAGTGTTAGGCGAAAAGCTAAAAATATGCTCTATTATAATCCTCAACATTTCAGAAATGATAATGTCACACCCCATACTACATATCATTTTGTGTGACTGTGGTCACACTCACATATGGGGAGTTATCACGCCTTGCCCTTGAAAGTAGGAGAATATATATCCGGAACCCTGGTGGCAGACTACCAACTTCTTCTATAGCAAAACACTTAATTTATATGAATCATAAAACTGATATCAAAGTAGCTTTCAAGATTATCTATAAAAACAGTCCGGACGGATTACTGCAATATTTTTTTTATTTTTTATTTTGATTTACAGCTTGATTCCACACCGTATTTTCAGTACAAGTATGGAATTTTCAGCATAGATATCGGTAGCCCAAATTCAGGCCGACCATAGATATCGGGTGTGCGCCGGCAGGGGATCGAACCTCGGACCATGTGTATGGTCGGCGAGAGTCCTAACCACTGTGCCACCGACGCACTCTGGGAGCAATGAGCTGTCCGTAAAATTAAGACCCCATCTCGCTGTGTGCACCAAAATAATTTCTTATTATCCTTAACCTACCTTGTGAATCGTTATCTGATTATATTACCGAAAGCATTGGATATTCTAAGCGTAAACGGATATCTAGGGGAGTTAACAGAGACCAACAAAGGTTATGAAAGTCGCAAATATGAACTTTCCAGTATTCCCCTCGAAACCGACAGAAAACTTACCTGATCTTAGCTTCTCCTCATGCATGTACCGTTTGAACTGTTCCTATGGTTCAAGCTATACAGGGAATATGAGTAAGGAGATTTGTCTACGGATTCGTGAACATTTACTAGCTTGGTTCGTAAAAAGGGCGAAATCAAATGCATTAAAAAGTCCAATTCTATCACACTTGGTGACTGCGGGACATCACACTGACACTGACATAGTGTTCAGGGTTGTATACCACATTCCTGAGTCATTATCATACACAGTTTACCTAAATCGTCTTCATGTAACTGAAGCTGTTGCAATATGATCGACGAAACCAGAATTTTATGTTCAGGCGTTGCTCTTACTTCGGCCCCACTTGGATTAAAAGTTCTCCCTTCCAAGATTGCCTTATCCTCTTATCTCGTTTTTTGATTTGTTTGTTATTTGATTCCTATTCTCGTCATCTTATCAGTTTTAGCCACAATCTTTTGTAATCGATACCCTTCATTCTGGCATTTTTTCAACACTATAGAATTTCTTTTTCATTTAGGGTATTTTGATTTATTAATGGTGTCATTATTTCTTATCTCAATATATGACTTCACCTGTTTTTAATTTCCAATGTTGATTATTTCATCATGAATTGTTTACCACAGTCTGACTATTGTGGCGAGTGCTACTGATAAGATTTATCAGTAGTATATAAAGAGACATTCATCGGCATAAAAATATCAAATAGCAAGGAGATACATTTGATGTCAGAGAAGGCAAATGATACAGCGTTGTGGAGATACATGGGAGATGTGAAAGGAACACAAAGAAACACAATTTGAAGGCCAGAAGTACTGTAACAACAGAGGACAAGGGCCAGGCAACAGAACGTTTATTACGGAAAATCAACACGTATTTATAGATTTTGATGTACATTATTGTAGATTATTGTTAGTAGAAAACACAGTCTGTTGATTGGTTGTTTCTCACACAAAGTTAACCTTGCATCTCTTGTGGCTGTGTCAGTTCATCTATATGTTAACTGCATCCACCTGTCCACCTTGACCTTTGACCTCAATTACTGTCAACCAATTTGGCTAGCGACCATCTCTCACCACAGTACCACAACATGAACGTCTGTGCAGATGGCGCGTTGAAGACAAGGTGTACATAATTTGGCTATACACAGATACCAATTTCCTCTAGCGTTGCACTGTCTCTTCCTTATTGATTACCATTTTTTGTACTAGTCACTCATCAGACAGCCTTTATAACTTTGAACTTGTTGCGGTAAATAATTCCCGCAAATTATTAGCCTACGGGCATTCCTCATTTAACAATGGATGCCAGCCTTCACTGTTTATGTCGAGTCGTTGGCGGAGCTGAAGGTTCGCGGCCAAGCATCCGTGACACTTGGTAAACTGTCGTGTTATTTTCGCTCGTTCATGCACGATCCCCCAGTTAGTTGGACAATCATTATCGTACTAGGATTTTGGTGTTTAGATTTGTCTTTGGTCTAAGTTGAACAAGTATTATAGAGGTGGGAGGATAAGAATTTGCTTCGGTATAAAACCGTAGTTTGCGCAAACATCAGTATCTCTTATTCTCCTAAAAACTGATTACCTGTCAATTTTCTTTTCTCACATTGCATGAATCTAACCAATCACTGTCATCGTCCCACATTTCACAATATTTTGAAAGTGCATTGAGCCACATGCATTTGTTACTCAAATATACAAATTTATTTCGTCAACTTATAACTACTAATCTGTTATTCTACGTGAAAATATATAGGACTCATACCTGGTTGTTATTGAAACGATAAATATCATATTTTATAATTGTAAGAACTTGAAGAAGAGAATTTACTGAATAGAATATTCTTTGTTCAGAGTGACTTTTAATAAAAGTAGTGGTAATTATTATCCTTCAAATTCATAGGTAAGAAATGCACTTAACGCAGAACTCCGCCAGCCTGGGACAAGCTAGTATCAAGAAAGGCAAATCATGTACTGATCTAATTGCAACTCAATTCATCTCATCATCGAACAAAGCATAGAATGGGAGTCAAACCTCTACCTCAACAAATTCATCGACTTCGAAAAGGCCTTCGACAGACAGCGTTGACCGAGAAATAATTAATAAACTATTTCAACATTCTTTTTATCAACCTCATTCAACAGCTGGCTATATGCATTGCCAAATGTCAGATGATTCCCCACAGAAGGCTCCACGAGGCGTTTGAAGTGAATAGAGAAGTAAGACAAGGCTGCCTGACTATTATCACCGATGATATCCTTAATTGTGGTGAGCTGGATTATGCAGAAGACTGCGCATGCGGGCGAGAAGACTTTGAAAGATCTGGATTTCGCGTGTGTATGATTTATGTTTAATGTCATTCACACAAACTCGAAGACTTATAGGAGAAAACCAAAAACTGGCTGGAGAACCCAGGACTCTAGGTGAACATAGAGAAGCAACATTTCTACTACAGACAGGTGGAACAGAGGAAAATGTCAAAGTCAGAATCGGAAAGCTAAGATACGCCTTCATCAACCTGAAACCAGTTTGGAAATCTGCACACAGCTGCATAAAGAACAAGATTCAGTGAGTTCTTCTGTATGGTTCAGAAACTTGGTGAGCGTGTCACGAAAAAGATTTTTTTGGTTGAGGGATTTCATCATGAGCTGACATCGATTAGAGAACCATTGGAAGATCTGGGAGTACCGGGTAGCAGGCTGTTTCGTCCTGGTTTTTAACTCTTCAGCGGTATGTACCCATCGGGGTTCGAACCCGGGACCTTCTGATTACAAGGTGAGCTAGCTCGTAGACCGATCCGATGTCCAGGGCCATGAATTCTGACTTCTGCCAATTCATGACATAGCTCGACCATTACGAAGTGATCTGCCTCACGTTCAACCTGCTGTACCCTACTGGCCACGGCTTCCCACAGGTCATTGGATTGGGTCCCAGTGGCTCAGTGGTCTACAAGCCCGCCTTGTAACCGGAAGGTCCTTGGTTTGGACCGCGGTGGGCGCGTACTGCTGAAGGACCCCAAAGTAGGACGAAACAGCTGACAACTGTCCAGTACTCTCAGGTTTTCCAGTGGTTCTCTAACTGACGTCGGCTTATGATGAAATCCTCCAACCAATCAAACAAAATTCCCTACAAACCAATACTTGAAAAAAATTTTCAACAAGTCACTGCATACTTATATCAACAGCTGCCTTCTCTGGAATCATAGTGAAGACCAAATGGCCAGCCAGAAACGATTAGCAAGAAGAAACTTTGTCAAGGAACCAACCAAGAGCCGATTGGTGCGTCGGTGGCACAGTGGTTAGGACTCTCGCCGACCATGCACACGGTCCGGGGTTCGATCCCCTGCCGGCGCACACCCGATATCTATGGTCGGCCTGTAAATTTGGGCTACCGATATCCATGCTGAAAATTCCATACCTGTACCAAAAAATTCGGTGTGGAATCAAGCTGTAAATCAAAAATAAATCAAAAAAAATTGGTCAACAAATATGTAGGAGAAATGGAGATGGATGGGGTATACGATGAGGAGGTCATCGAATGACATCACGCGCAATGCAGACCTTCGCCCGAGTGGAATCTCAACGGGAAGCACTGAGTGGGTTGTCGGTGCGACGGTGACATGGAGGAGATAGTGTGGGAAAGAGATGAGAGAGTTTGGTCAATCATGGACCGAGCTGAAGAGAATAGCAGAAAATAGAACAAAGTGGATATGTGTTGTTGAAGCCCTGTGTGTTCCACTTCGAACGCAAGGGAAAAATAATCAATTCTTAAGTCCGTTATCATTTTGTTTATTTTAATTCACCTTTCATTTTTTATATAAATTAATCGGATAAGTACAGAGGTATGATCAGACTGTTCAAAACGTATTACGTCAATACACCACAACCACAGTTATACTCTGTCTTCTAATATAACACAGTCCAAACGAATTAGAATTCAAACATAATAACCTCAGTAAATTTGATGCTCCCAGCGATATACGGGATAATATCAGACATTTTTGGTGAAACATGGTGTATATTTGAATGTATACTTCCTGATTAACAAGCTTCAGAGAAATAAGTGTACTTCTAATTACAATAATTTACATAAAATCAATAAATAAATATATATGTTCAATGTACAATAGGTATTAAATGTACAATCAATGTATTCACATAGTCGATAACTAAAAATGGCGGGAAAAAGAGAATAATAATAATGCTGATCAAGCCTTCATCTTTTTTGAAAATCACATCGTAATATTCGAAAAAATGTTCGCCTAAATGATATATTTGATAATGCATAACAAAATGGATTAATTGGTGAATTCATATAACATAACCAATAAGATAAATTATATAAATGTATATTCACACAACTTGTATGCGTAGCTAAATCATCACAAAAACCTTTGATCAATACAATAATATGATATGGTGTCCAACAGATCATAAATGCTCCCAAAATAAAACTAATCGTTTTCAATGCTTTACGTGCATGTTTACGATTCTGTGCATCAATATTTGATAAAGATTGAAATATTGAAAGACTTGTCTGTCGTCTACCAGGTTTTGTTGTTGCTGTTGTTGATGTTGATGACTTTCCGTATTGTTGGTGTTGTTGTGAATTGAATCTTTGTTGCTTTTGTTTGTATTTTAAAGAGAGTTTATTAGATTTGTTCTTTTGTTGGCCATTTTGTACATTCATATAATCATCACTATTATTTGGACTTTGAACTTGACTATTACTTAGACTGGTTTGACCTTGAGTGTGATTATTGTTTAAATCGGCACTGATTTGTTGTTTTGGCGGGAGGATACAACACAAACATTTCGATTGCAGTTTAGTTGGTTCTTCACTTATTTGTGATTCACGGTGTTGTTGAATAAAATTCTTACTATTATTATTATTACTACTGTAGTAATAACATGGACATATATCTTGATTATTGTTATAATTATTTTGTAGTCCACAAGGATAAGGTTTGTCATCACAGGATTTACACAATGATGAAGGTGATTGTTGTTTGCTTAGTGTACACACGGATTTGATAAGCATATTATTTGGTTTATTCAATCTATGCATGAATCGTCTGTACCAACAGTTGGTATTTGTCAATTGGTTATTATACATTGAGCTCATATTTCCGCTGGATGTTGTGTACTCAGAATATTCGCACTATAATTGTTTAAGAAAAAACGAGAATAAAAGGATGGTTAGCGTAATAAGTGTGGAAATAGAGCATTATATGAAGATATGTCAGTACTTGACCGATTTCAGACACATACTGAACCAGCGACGGGTCAACCACGCACGCGATTCGGGCTTTGACTCTTTGTCGACTCGCTCCTAAACGTAGCAAACCCAGTAAAGAAGGAAGGTTGGAAGTGAGGTGAGTAAAACCACCCGTTAAAATTGGAACAATGTCAAAAGGAATTTATTAAGTGAAGAAATAGCGAGCTGAAGTTTCATCCCTGGTTGTGACTCTTCAGCAGCTTACATCATTCATTTTATAAAGAATCTAGAAGAAAATCAATAAGTTCTCACTGCAGAGTATATTACCTCCCACTTACGCGGTCAGCTTCTTTTAATTTACTTCACAGTGCGGTGGTTAAATGTCCATATACCAGAAGTTAATTCCTAACCCAACTAATCTCTGTTGAATTTTTAAGGCCGTTTGCTTTGGATTTTAACTTAATACTCTATACTACTTATAAGTAATACAGGTGACTTTATACAAATTCTGGTCAACATTGGCTTGTATAGTTCCACAAAAGATAATATTAATAATAATAATAATAATTTGCTTTATTCCAAAACAGTACATGTGATACAGAATGGAATTCTCAGCATTTTTACTACAGTATTGCATCCAGTTAGTACATTATCAATAAAATAGAATTCTACAAAGATTGAGGAAACCATAGTTCATTATTACAACAATACATTGGCATGTCAGTAGCAAAGGTAAAGCTGAAACAGTGTTTGAAGGTGTTAGAAACCTGGGAGCTGTCTTATTAACTGGACACCGAGTGAAAAGTAAACATTTATAAAAATTATATTTGTACAAATCTGAGAGAGACTGAAATAAGTAACTTCAGCGTTTCGTTCGGTAAACTGGTACGAACTTCTTCCGGGGAATTAATCAAAATTAAAATAACAAAGTTGGATATAGAAATAGTTAATTTGTCTGAATCGTGCAATCTATTTGCGAGCAACACATTTCGAACAATCTCATCCATCACACGCGGACTTGTCATAGGAAAGTGTATACATGAAATTGATAAAAAGTTAAGAGGTGAGAAAACAGATTTAGGTCAAGTTAAAAGGAAATATTGAAGGTCAAAATAACAATGAAGATCACTAAACTAAATAAGAGAGGTAATAGTACATCTACCCTGACTGGTATCAAAACAAAATTTACCAAGGAACGTTTGGTGTGATGACGAATTGTTGCTTTAAATGCATAAAGGTGGTTTAAACTTTCTAATTGCTAGGCCTTCCTCAAACCTAAGAGTATGCCTCAAACACGTTTTATAGATAGGTTTAAAAGATGTGTAAACGTCAATTTTATATCCTGTCTCTATAATATGTTTCACATTAGAGGAGCTAGGTCTCATGTTCTCACCATTCATGAGTTCTGAAGATTCTCTTTGCTTCTGAAGCCATTTAGGAATATGCTGTGAAGCCAGGCCTTACTTGCAGAGATCAGTGAGTTCTCCCCATGTGTTTGTGTGGCCACACGCACATTCAATTTTAAATATTGCATAAATTTTTAAAATTTTATCTATTATTCGATTTCCTAAATCCCTTTGCGTTTCGACTGGAACCAAAGGTTAAAAGCTTGACGCTTGAAGTTTCGGTAACAAGGATGTTGTCTTAAGGCGTGGGGTTAGTAGCCTCAAGCCAAACCTTCCCTCTTTACTTGGTTTATCACAAGCTTAGCGAGGTTTAAGAGTGTGTCGACTGGGAATCGAACCCTGAACTACATGAGGCACAATTGCCAAGCATTTAACCATTGGATCACACGAAGTATTACTGCATTTTTTTTACAAATCATACATGAATTTATAACTGGTAAAGAATAATAAACCCAACACTTACTTTATCAGTTAAACAGCATGTCGGTGGACATTGATCCCATGATGGTGAATCAGATAAATAGTAGTATACACCATTTTCACAGAAATTTTTATCACTTATAAACTGTTGACATTTCAACACTTGTGGACAAAGATCACATTCGTATAAATTTAAACCGGAATCATAACAATTATCCTTTTTTCTAATCCATACAGGTGAGTTATTCTCAGAATAGGTATATTTCGGTGACAGTGATTGATCACTTTGAATTGGTGAAGAAGTTGAAACTTTTGGTGATGGTATATAGAAGTTGACAGATGGCAGAGAGAAAATTTCATCATTTAGAGATGATAAAGAGTCTTTTCTATGCAAATCTGCTTGTTTGTCCTCATGAGCAGTTGTCCCTGCTGTTGTTGCTGTTGTCGATATACTAGTTTGATGTGTCTGAGATGTATTCAGAATACTATCGCTATTATGATAGACTGAACAATCATTAGAAGTTTTATTCTCATATTGATAGCCGCGTTGAAGTTGATCACTTTGTTGTGAAACGGATTCATTTTCACCAATACCAAGATGGTGGGGATGATGCTGTTTCAAGTTTTTCGGTGATGTACGTTGATATTGACTAACTGTTGTTAATGAATATCTACAAAAGAGGTGAATATTTTGCAAGAAATCAGTCAGTGCTTCTCTGAAGGATATCTTATCTAAGAATGGATATCCTGAGAAGTTCATTAATAAATACTTTAAAGAAAACACCCGCTGCAAAACAATCCAAACAGTCCCGAAGAAACCTGTCTGTATCAGCTTGCCGTTCAAAGGAGATGATGTATAGGAAGTAGTCAAACGAAGACTCGACAAAGCCATCAAGAGAACTTATTATGCTGCAAAACTTGTTTTCCTTAACACCACTAAGCGAGTGCCTCAACAATCTGGGAAAGACTAGTCGCCAATCCTCGACACTTAAAACTGCGTATATCAGTTTGAGTGTGTTTGTGGAAGCAAATACATAGGTCGTACGGAAAGGAGATTGTCTACTTGCATGATGGAGCATTTGCCAAAATGGCTGAAAACAGCTGAGTGCAAAGTGCCAAAATCCTCAATAACAAAGCATCTTGTGGATTACGGGCATGATATCGACGCAGTCAAGTCATTCACCATTGTTAGCAGACAAAGATACAAGAAGATGCTTGCAATTGCAGAGGCTTGTGCAATTCGAGTTTACAAACCAGGTCTCTGTGTACAAAAGGAGATGGTCGTGACTCTGAATCTACTATGGTAATACGTTTTACTTATAATTCTACCTCTTATTATTATTATTTTTATTATTACTATTATTATTCTCATTATTATTATTATTCTTGATTCATTTAAAACTATCCTTTATCAGTAGCATTATCTTAACCCACTTCAACACTATTATTATTATTGTTATATTATATTATTGTTATTATAACTATTACTATTGACATCCCTCTGGTTGCAATTCTTGTTAAATTCTGTAATGTCTAATTGTTTATCTAAGTGATGTAATTGAAGCGTAATGCAATCTATCTTAATTTTGATCTCCCATACTCTCTCTCCCCTTATCTAATTGAACATGGCCTGAAAAAGCATTTGCACCTGTCTTTCTGCATAACTAATTCAATGTAGTTTATTTACTTATCAGTCTTATATCTCCCAATGTAATTTCAAAAGTATATATATATATCCGTGTATGTAGAGTATTCAGCTGACGAGTTCTACCGAAATTTGATGAATTCATTAAATCCTGCTTTATTAACCTTTATTGCTTGTTTAGCTTCTATATTAGTTTAGAGACATGGTTAAATGGGTCAGTAAAAGCATTTGGAACAGCCTTACTAGAGACTTTTAACAATTGTTGTCTAATTCACTGTCACACTGCTGAAGATCATATGGCCAGTTGAAAAGGACAAGCAGAAAGCAACTCTGATAGACGATGAACTAGAGATAGATTGAATATACGCGTGGGAGAAGACCTTCACATGAAATCATACGTTAGACTGTTGAGGGAAATCTGAAGTGAAAGCTACAGGTTAGGCGATGTTTTGAGGATAAGATGGAGGAGAGAGTGTGATGAAGAAAAGAAAACGTGTGGCACTAAATCACCAGTAGTAATTCCATACAAAGAAGGAACAATGCTAGCAGGAATAAAAGTGGCTGGCATTCAAAACCACAAACTCAATTAGAAAGCTTCGTCGGTTAAAGGATCCTGCCAGTGGAGCCTTTAAAACAAAACAATTTAGTTTATATAATATCCTGCCTGCAATGATTGTCAGGTCAAATACATAGGTCAAACTAGTAGAACAGGGGCAGTCAGACTAGCCGAACATAAAAACCTAGCAAAATCTAGATTGGTTGACCCGAATAAGATAAGAAATCTAGAGAATGGTTAATCCGTAGATAGCACTCACTACATGCAACTACACACAACCATACAATAAGATGGATGGGATAAGATGACAGTTTTAAAATCTAATGTCACAAGGTGAAGGGGGAGATTGATAACGGAAGCTTTGTTTATCGAATCAACTGCAAAGTTGTGTAATAGGAATGATTCAACATCTATCCACCCAGACATCTGGAAAATTCATACAAACTAATATGGAATTACTTACTATCACAGTGCCGAAGTTTTACACATATATTAAAATGTGTGGCAGTTGTGGCATCCTGGACAGCCGTTTCGTACCACTAGTTTGAAACTCTCCTGTTGTACTCACCCACCCTTGTTCGACCCCAGGTACTTCTAGCTACGGGGTGAGCTCGTAGGCTTTTTAGCCACTGGGATCCGATCCTAGTTCCAAACTACGACGAAACAGTTGTCCAGTACTCTCAGGTTTTCCATTGGTTATCTAATTGATATCAATCTGTGGTGGAACTTGAAATACTTTTGTTGTCAATGAAGATGAAAAGGCAAATTTAAGTTGATCGGTGAGAAGACACAAACTATTCCCAGTAACTCTTGAAGGTATTCTCTAATCGATTATATATAGTTCTGGACATATGATATGCAGTCATACTATTTTCATGTTATATAAGTTTATTTGATATAACACACAGTCCGTGTGCGTCGGCAGCACAGTGATTAGGACTCTCGCCGACCATGAACATGGATGGAGGTTCGATCCCCAGCCAACGCACACCCAATATCAATTGGTTGGCCTGCTAAATTTGGGCTACGGATATCACATGCTGAAAATTCCATAATTGTATGAAAATACTGTGGAATCAAGCTATAATAAAACAATATATTTGTATGTGTATATATTACTAAGGCTTCCGACGTGCAGAGTATTTGGTACTTAGAGTCTCTTGGCAATTTGAATTGGTCGTGTTCTCAGGGCAGGTTGTTTTTATTGCGAAGTTTTCGTTTCCCTTCTAGCGAACATCTTCAGCGCAGGTTTCAATGTAAAATGAAGTTATTTAAATTCTTCATGAATGATGTAATTGTATCTATCTCCTCTGGAGACCACTGGCGTGACTAGTTGTTAATTTACATCTGAATTGATCATTTTTATTGACCAAATATGCCGGTTAATAAATAATAAATTATATGACAAGAAAGTTCAAATTGCAAGTCAGTAGAAAAAGATCAATACAGGCGTAAATTAACAAAACTAGTCACAACAGTGGTCTCCAGGAGATAGATACATTTAGATCATTTTATACAAAAATCTGGGCTGGAGGGAAATGTTGTCTAGAAGGTGGACGATGAAAGCTTCGCAATTAAATCACCCATCAGCTCAGAGAACACGACTAATTCAGTATCATCCACCTGAGCTACAAGTCTTCTCCATTATTATGGCAGTTTATTTGGTGCTCAATAGATGATGGAACAAGATTCTTCAAAACTAGCTTTATGACCTATCTGGATCAGTTGGTCCAATATCGAACTGTTGACGGTCTTTATTACATCTTTATTTAACTAGACTGGTAAGTGTTTCCGAGCATGAAAAATTAAGTTCCCCAGGCAGCGGTCAATATAACTGGCTCCAGAGTAGCAGCACATTTGACTGGCCTAGTTATTTTGTCTTTCACTTGAAGAATCGAAACCAGCCTTGGTGGGAAATATGAACCGCAGCTTACTGGAATTAACAGTTGTTCGATTCGAAGAACTTACCTATCAGTTGAACTGGTCCTATGTAGCCAGTTATACTGACTATTGTTCTAAGAACTTAATTTTCTTTGCTCGGAAACACCTACCACTCTGGTTAAATGAAGGTACTTTTCTGTAGTTGATTTGTAAGGATTAGTTTTGTTTTTACGAGTTGATCATGGATTGATATCAGCTAGAGAACCATTGAAAACCAGCACTGGAGTACTGGACAGCTGTTTCATCAGCCTAGTTTGGAAATAATCGGCAGTACGCACCCACTGCCAAGGTTCGAACGCAGGACCTTCCGGTAACAAGGCTAGCTCGTATACCATTCAGCCACTAAGACACGTCTCAGTGAATAGCCCATGTCATCGGTGGGACATCTATCCTCACACTTGACTAGATGAACCTATCCGTGATCAACTCATGAAAACAAAACTAATCCTTACAAACCAACTATAGAAAATTAATCTGATGCTCGCTAGTGGCTTGCTACAGGATGGAGTTTCCTGAAGTCCTAGTGAGAAATCGTGACCAGTGAGGTCCAACCAGTCAGGTGTGTGAGGATGGATTTCCCACAGATGACATCGGTTGGTGGACGCGCTAAATCGCGAATCGGTAGAAGTTAGAATTCATAGAGTGGCTCTTGAATTGGGTTCCAGTGGCTGGATGGTATGCGAGCTTGCCTTGTAGCCGGAAGGTCCTAAGTTCGAACCCTGGCAATGGGTGCGTACTACCAATGACTCCCAAACTAGGATGAAACAGCTATCTATTACTGCCTGGTTTTCAATGGTTCTCTAATTGATATCAATCCGCGATCAACTCGTAAAAATAAATAAAGGTGTAACAAAAACCATCAACAGTTTGAATTTAGACCAACTTGTCCAGATAGGCCACAAACCCAGTATTGAAAAATCTTTTGCCATCATCTATTGGGTACCAAATAAATTACCAAAAGCGTCTGAATACTGTAAACAGAAGAAGCCGTCGAGTTATTCGCTTAAAACAACCAGAACCCTACTTGCGGAAGAAATAGGTCGAGCAACTATTGGTACTCTGACCTTCTGATTTATTTGGTATTCAGTTTAGAGTGATATTAATGCATATTATGACTTACAGAAGCTCTTGAACTGTAATCTATTCATTTTATCGACTTCATGTCATTCAAAACATAAATGTTGTCCATGGAAATGATTCGTCAACTATGATAGATACATAAGTGTTGAACCTGAAGAAGAAATTATCGAAAGGAATATTCTTTGTTCACCAATCAGTCTTTGAAAGTTCTTAATAGGTATCTTTAGTCAATGAATATATAATAGGCATGTAATTAAAAGTCACTGAAATCAAATAACTATATAAATCAATACTCTTGTACAACTTACAGTTGAATTTTATCTATTCCATTTATTTTATTAGATTGATTCATAAAATTACAGTCAGCTAATTCATTGGACTCCTTGAACATATCTTTTGTTGTTTTATTCAAACAATAAGTTTGGTTTGTTAAATATCCCGCCACATCATTATTTGAATTTGTTGGATACTTATTTAAACAATTTGAATTGAAACATTGATCATTTGATAATTGAATGTTATTTTGTGTATTCTTCCTCTTCACCTTCTCGACATTGTCAACATCATTATCATTATCATCGCCATCATCGTCATCATCGAGTGAATTTGTATTATTTGATGTATTTTGTTGTGTTAAAATTTGTTTATTATCAATTTTCGATAAAAATTGCATTAAACGTTTATTATTATCGATGGATTTCGCCTGTAATCGACGTGCTACTTTGTATATACCGACGTATAGACTACACATGATAACTAATGTAGTCCAGAAATAACCTATCGTCAATGTTGTATTGAATACTGGATAATAGGTGAAAGAGACTTCACATTTGACAATTTCACGTTCTGGTTCCCCGGTTAAATACGACCAACCAAAAATGACTGGTGTGAATAAAGCTGCTGGAAATATCCAACTTATGCATATCATAACTCGAACCTTTTTGTAAATAGACAGTGAAAAAAAAATATAAACCAGTAGTGTACAATAATAAATACAATAATTATTTAGATAGATGGGTTTCTCTAATATCCCTTACATTTTGAGTCGAACACGGAACTTCAAACTTCAGTCTGTGGAGTTTCAGCAGCTGTAGTGTTGTTTCTTTACAGGATAGGGCTGCTAGCCTCACATTCAGCGTTTCCTCTTTTACAGACTTCTTGCTGGTTAGGAGAGGTGTGGGAGTGCTTCGCGACTAGGGATTTATTCTGGCCACCTTCACTCTTGGTCAGTGAGCTTTTTACCATCATAGTGTTATGTATGTGAATATGAGGACCTTGTAGACTACGAGCGAATCTAACTAATGCGCTGGCTAATCTGTCTTAATCGCACGTCAACAACAACAACAATAATACCGCCGGGCACGCAAGACAAATAAAAGAGAAGACTGGACGTTGATATGAGAGCTTTTACTGTCTCAAACAACAGTCGAAAATGTTAAACAACAACTCCGTATTTATACAATTAGAAAAATCAATGTCACCTTTTTAAAATATTAACGACCTTGGGGATTCAGTAATTTAAATCAATAATCACGCAGATGCGTGAAATCAATGATTATGCTAATGTGTGAAATAAATAATGAATATTAATGATTCCCCTGCGTATATATTACCTCCCCCTTTTAAAAAGAATCTTGCAATCAGTTTAGTATCTTTTTTCCTTGGGGTCGATTTGGAAAGGAACTGTTTGTGTTCGTTTGCGCTGGGATCGTCGGCTGGGTAGCATCTCTTGTTTTGCTTCTGGTTTGACTGGTGGTATTTTGAAAGTTTCCAGTAGTAATTCCAGTGGCAATTTAGGTTCTTGGGATGTAGTATATCGACGTCGTATCTGATTTTTATGTCTAATCCACCATTCATCCCCAACTTTAACCTTGTACATTAGAGTTCCATGTCGACGTTCTATCAAGCCTTCGGCCCATTTTCTGTTCCTCGGTCGATAATCGCGCACATAGACGGCATCACCCTTGCGGTAATACGTCAGACTATTTCTTCGTTGATGTGACGAAGATGGTAACATGGAGTGGTGATGAGTTCGTAGCATTCGACCCATTAGAAGTTCTGCAGGGCTTTTCTTCTGTTCTGCCAGTGGTGTAGTTCGGTATACAAAAAGAAAGTTTTGTATTGCTTCCGGTTTCGCCCCTCCCCCTGCTTTCAACAACGCTCGTTTGAAAGTGTCGACAAATCTTTCTGCCTGACCGTTGGATTGAGGGTGATAAGGTGGCGTCCGCACGTGTTGTATACCGTTTCTCTTGCAAAATTCCTGGAACGCTTGTGAGGTGAACTGACTGCCATTGTCAGATACGATGATTTCTGGTATACCGTGACATGCGAAGATCTTTTCCAGGACTGATACTGTTCTGCTGCTAGAAGGTGGTGTCACTTGTACTACCTCCGGCCACTTTGAGTAAGAGTCCACGAGAACCAAGTAGTATATACCTTCTATCGGCCCAGCAAAATCCACATGTAGGCGGGACCATGGTTTTGACGTGGGCCATGCTCTCGGTGGCGGATCTTTGGCTGCCATGACAGACATCACCTTCAGTTTTTGAGCAGAGCCCGTCTTACGGGAGCTAACAGTTGCTACTTTGTTGCTACCAGACATCGAAGCACTTTTGGCGCAGCCATACTCACTGTGACGATTCGAAGTTGGTGTTTCATTAATCACGTCATTCTTTCTAATGGGCTTAGGTTTAATATATCTGTCTCTGATTTCTGGCTTTCTTGTTGAGGGTTCAATACTTTCGATCTTTTGGCATACACTGCTTAACGGAATCTCTGACAGGTGCAGCTTCTCGAACCAGTCTAAACCCAAGAGGTCAAGGTTTGAATTATTGATGTAGCATGTGCCGACGAAATGACTATCGCGAAAACCAACGCTGCATTTAATTTCTCCATTCAATCGAAGTCTTCCACCACATGCACTAATTGCTATTTGATTTGTCTTCTCTATGGCAGGGCATCCCAACTTCTGCCATAATTTCTTTGATATTATTGTAATATCGGATGCTGTGTCGATTTGTAGGCGTGCCGGCCGTGTATTAATCGTCAGATTGATATATTTGCGAGGTGCTGGAGTACTAATATGATATGTGGCAGTAACACCCAAAGACTTGAGCTTGTTGCGCCGTCTGAGTCGACTACGAGATCTGGGTTGGTTGTTGCGTTTGCAGTAGCCATCTTTGTGACCAACAGTATGGCATCGACGGCATTTATGCTGTTTGAATGGGCACAAGTTTGCAAAATGCCAGGAGCCACAGTGCCAGCAGGCTGATGGTGGTTTATGCTGAGGATGACGCGGTGCGGTTGATGTCGACGGTACTGGATGCACCGCATGCACTTCTGCTGCATTTTGGCTGCCAGACTGCACCAAGGCGGTATCGTTATGAATGTTGATTAAACGCTGATATTCTTCACCGACGTCTTTCAAAGTCATTCGTGGATCTTGTTCCAGACGATTTAATAGACGTGTGCGTATATCAGCAAATTTGGGAGACTGCAAACCACAAATGAAAATCAATACCTTGAACTGGTCTTCTGAGAGTGATTTCAATTTAAAACGTTCACACGTGCGATTGACTATACCCAACTGAGTATGGATATCATCATTTTCGTTCAAAACTAGTTTCATGCAATGATATCGAATGTTGAATAACGATCTCTGATCACCAAACTGATGACGAAGGGTATGGACAGTTTCATCGAATGATCTTTCACTGGGCTTCTGTGGCAGAATTAAGTTGCAATATTTATCTAGCTCATCTGCTCCCAATTTACGAAGTAGAAGCCGTACTTTCCAGGCATCATCTTTATCCGCAAAGTCTACTCGAAATAGGTCTTCATATCTGCGAAACCAAGTGTCAAAAGTGACGTTCGCATCTGGATCATAAACAAATTCTGAGATGCTGCTACCAATGCTGTCGTTGGCTGTAGATGAATCGGCAGAGCGTGATATCTGTAGACCAGCAAGCATTTCCATCAATTTTAGCTGCTGTTCCATTAGTTTCTCTAAACGCAGTGGGTCCATCTTCAGCAAACCCGTCGCCAAATTTGTTATGTATGTGAATATGAGGACCTTGTAGACTACGAGCGAATCTAACTAATGCGCTGGCTAATCTGTCTTAATCGCACGTCAACAACAACAACAATAATACCGCCGGGCACGCAAGACAAATAAAAGAGAAGACTGGACGTTGATATGAGAGCTTTTACTGTCTCAAACAACAGTCGAAAATGTTAAACAACAACTCCGTATTTATACAATTAGAAAAATCAATGTCACCTTTTAAAAATATTAACGACCTTGGGAATTCAGTAATTTAAATCAATAATCACGCAGATGCGTGAAATCAATGATTATGCTAATGTGTGAAATAAATAATGAATATTAATGATTCCCCTGCGTATATATTACATAGGCATGCTGCCGTGCATTTCACAGGTTTATACGAAAAATATAGTTAAGTAATCGGCTTGTACCACTGGATATCTGCAAATAAAATCATACAATTCAAAGCTGTACATTTGTTCAGGGGGTGGGTGGTTATATATACAGTGCAGATTAACAACAGAGGTCAAAGGTTAGTGTCAGTTATTGACAAAGCAAATCAAAGTGTATCAGTAAAATCTATTTTTGAAAAGTTACAGGAAGTCTTACTTAACTAAGAGGGTTGGTAATTGGTTATTCAAGCGGTGAATAATCGTTTGGAAATAGCTGATAAGAGACAAGAAAAAAATGACTTAAAATGAGTAGTGGACTATATGCAGCTCACTATACAGTTAGTTATTCAGGAATACAAAGAAAGAAGAAAATAGTACTAAGGCCATGGAAGTGAAAGAGGCTGGATGAAACATTTCTGAATGCAAAGTTCAGGTTTCTCCGTAAGGATTGCCAAGCCTGCACCTGCATGTAGAAGATCTTTTCCAACGACCTCACAGTTGCATCAGCCAACACCAATGGGTTGATAGCTGGTGAAATCTCAGCATGGACCTAGAAGGCTCGTTTCACATATGCCAGTTTACTCCGTCTCTGGTGTAGGCACGATATCCGCCTGGCTGTCGACCAAAGGGCGTGTGTACTGCTCAGCAGTCCGCTCCGTCCTCCCTTGTGGCTCTGAGTGAGACATGGCCATTGCGAGTTGAAGACAAGAAAAGACCAGCTAGGTGTCTTTGTTCGTATGCGCCTTCACTCTATCGCCCGTGTGAAATGGTATACTAGGGTGAGGAATGGTGAGGTTAGGTATCGGTCGAGTGTTAGATAAGGAGGAGAAATCAGTTGACGATATTGTGAAGTTACATCGATTGAAGTGGTTAGGACATGTGTTACGTATGCCCACCTAGCCATCTCCTTTCTCTACGATCAGTGTTAGCTGACATAGGACGGATGAAGTTGGAAAAGGGAAAGGTGGCGTTAGTGAAATCAAAACATGGCTTCGTCAGTCATTGAAATCCATAACAGTTAGTCTAGGCCAGGCAGTCACGTAGGGAGGTGTAGACTTCCTGGCTGACTGGTTGTGGTCCTCGGGATGGAAAAAACCAATGAAGGCTGGAGATAATTGGTGGTGTGGCTCAAAATCGTTTTCAATGGCTGGTGCAGATGCATTCACTCCTTGTGACTTATAATATGCAATAAAACTATATTGTTCTTCCATATTATCATTCTGTTTACCTCAAATCTCTATTTACTGTCTCTATTTTACATTTCTTCTTACTTTCTTCTCTTGTTTTGTGTGCTAAGTGAAGTGGCGACTCGAACTGCTTCACATCGGTGCAAAGTTCTACGTTGAAACCAGTCAATCAATCAGTCAACGACTTGACCGTACTTTACATATGAATTTGAAAGAAGTATCTTCTGCTGCTGCATGGCCAGAAGTAATGATATGCTCCAGAATTCAGCTGTTGACTGTTCTTGTTCTGTTTTTGACAGCCATGCTAGTAGTG